TTTTATGAAACCAGTCTGTAACTTGCTTTTCCCCCTAATTATTTACTGATAGTGGGCAGTTCACCAGCTCAGCACATTTTTTAAATGGCTGCCTATTTTCCCACTTTGTTGATGTGCTATAACTTGTCCATATATTTCCCTTCCCTATTGACGAGTACTTAGGTCCTCATAATGTTTCACTGTTATAAACAATACTACAGGAATATCTTGGACTCTAGTGTGGATGTTTCCCTAGGATAAGATTGGGTTGCTGGGCAACCAATACCCTGCCCAGGCTTGACCATTACCATCTTATTATTTCATCCTGCTCACTGACCAGTGTAATTTCTGCCTCCTCATCCTCATCTCTAAGGTGGTCCAGCCCACCATCCTCCAAGCCTGAAGCCTCCTTCAGCTCTTAGACATGAGACCTCATAGGCCACCTTGCCTGTTTCTTACAGAAATGGGATTAACTAGAGGAGTTGATTGAAGGTTAAGTCTTGGTTTGCACTAATGGTTGAACTAAGGACAGTTTGCTGCTGTAACACATTACTACAAATTTAGTGGCTTAAGACGACACAAATGTATCACATTATATTCTGGAAACCAGAATCCAAGTTGGACTCTCTAGGCTAAAATCTAGATGTCAACAAGCTGTGTCCCCTCCTGCAGGCTCCAAGGAAGATGTGTTTACTTTCCGTTCTAATTTCTGGAGACTGCCCCAGTCCTTGGCTGGCAGCCCCTCTATCTATCTCACACCACATGATTGTCCTGACCCTTTTGCCTCCCTCTTCCACATTTAAGGATCTTCTTGATTACACTGGGCCCAGCCACAGCATTCAGGATAATCCTGTTATTGAAGGTCACCTGAGTAGCAATTGGCATTCCATCTGCCACCTTAATTCCCCTGTGAGAATATAATATATTCACAGCTTCTAGAGATTAGGGTCTGGATATCTTGGGGACCATTATTTGCCTGCACCAACACTTAGAATCTGAAGGATGGGGACAGAGACCCTTCAGCTGCCTTCTAAGAAGTCTGGGTCTGAGAAAAATCCTCCGACCAGACAGGTGATGGGAAATATAGCGAGAGGACTGTCAGAGGACTTTGATGATCTATGCAAGGCAGTGACCAATGGGTTCAGGCACAGGGAAAGTTAGTTGACTGATACCAGAAATAGAAAGCAGCCACCCCTTACCTAGGGCCAGCCCCCACACAAGGGCTTCCAGCTGCCATGGTGCCTACGTATCAAAAGGATAAGAAGGCCTCTGAGCCACCATAGTCCTGGCTCCCTAAGTGAGGTCTGTGGGCAGCTGAAAAGGCCTTGGTGTGGAAGTCAGCAGTGGATGCAAGGAAGTCCCTCCCCAGCAGTGAGCCCTGTATTTTCCTCTTCCCTGGGATGAAGGGAATTGCCTTAGCAGGGTCCTCACCTTTGCTGGGCTGGGGATCTGAGGTTAGAATCCAAGCCCTGCCTCACAGAGTATGTGTGGGTATAGCCAGGCCTCTCCCACAGGCAACTGAGCCCCAGAATGCTCTCCTCAACCCTCCTAAACATACCCCCTCAGGCCCAGAAGTTCTAGCAGTTGCCCTCAACACCCTGGGGCCAGAGTTCCCTCAGAATTTAGCAACCATCACCCCCTGCCTACCTCATCAGTGGGAATTAGTTAGAGAGGAAGAAAAAGAGGGAAAACGTCAACCCCTTTCTATCTGTCCCAGAAATTTGTCCCCATTTCTGTTTCTGTGTCTGTGATGTTGTCTATCTCACATTGGAGTTGGTCTGTTGTATAATTTAAAAGAATAACTTTTGTTCCTTTTACTCTGCTAATATCTTGCTTTTTTAATTTTAATTCAAACTGAAACCATTTGTTATGGGAAATAGAGATAAAAAGAGTGTTAGTCTGTTTGGGGTCATTATAACAAATGCCTGGGATAATCAAGCTCTCAAAGAGGAAAGGCCTATTTGGCTAATAGTTTTGGAGGTTGGTAAATTGGGCCTGTTGCTTTTAGGCTCATGGTGAAGAAACACATCATGGTAGGAGCACATTGGGAACAAAACTGTTCACCTACCACCGGGCACACACCTGTAATCCCAGCAGCTCCAGAGGCTGAGGCAGGAGTATCATGAGTTCAAAGCCAGCCTCAGCAAAAGTGAGGTGCTAAGCAACTCAGTGAGACCTTGTCTCTAAAGAAAATACAAAATAGGGCTAGGGATGTGGCTCAGTGGTCAGTGCCCTTGAATTCAATCCCCGGTACCCCTTCTCCCCTCAAAAAAAGAAAAAAAAATTGTTAACCTCATGGCCAGGAAGTGAAAGAGGGGAAGATAAAGGGGCAGTCCCACTGTCCACCTTAAGAGCAGACTCCTAATGACCTAAGGACCTCCCACTAGGCTCCACCTCTTAAAGGTTCCACAACTTCCCAATAGCACCATCCTGAGGAGAAAACCTTTAACACATGGGCCCTTGGGGAAGGAACACTTAAGATCCAAGAGCTACATTTAAGCAAAGGCGACACATTTAAAACACCCAGAACAATACCACCCTCCCAGAGACAGCTTATCAACACCATGGCCTATAGCTCTCCACATACTCTTTAATGCATAGAAGTATATTGTGACAAAAGTCAAATTTCATCATACAGCCAGGTATATATGTGCTTCTCTAATTGACTCTACGTTTTCCTTCTATATATGATGATGACCTTTCATGTTAGTGAGTTTAAATTTACCTCATTGTTTTGGAGCCTGCCTAGCATTCCATTTTATGACTCCAAGAATATGCCAGGCAGTCCCCTCCTGTGTGTGTTTAGGCCATTTCTAATGTCATCTTACAGATGCACTGGGTCAGTGCACCTGGCGGGGGTGGGGTGGGGGGGGGAACGGAGTGTGGATTGGGGCTGAAGGTCTCTGTGTCTCCAACTGTATCTGCCTTTCCAAGTGAAATGGGGACCTGGCAGAGCACAATGACCCTTTTCTACTCCTTGGAACAAGTGATTTCCTTTAAGGAAGGCACTTTTCCGGAAAAATATGTTATGCCAAGGCTTCCTGATTCCAGAATCTAGCATGTCCCAGAAAGAAATACACCCTGGTTTCGGAGTCAGGGAACAAGGAGAAAGAGCAAGGTGGCGTGCCTCTTCCTCCACCCCTTCTGACAGCTGGGTTTCAAGGATCTTCACGCTCAGACTTCCTCCAGACACAGCAAAACGTCTCCCCTCTACAATCCGGAAATGGAGGCCCAGCAAGACAGTAGGAGTGGGAAGGCAAGGACCAGCCCTTTCCCCTATGCACATGGGGGCTGGGATGGAACCCAGCAGTTCCCCCATCCCTTCACCCAGGGGTGGAGCTGAGAGGGAAACCCCACGGGAAAGGAAGCAAGACTTGCTGGGGAGAAGCACAGGCACAAAAGCCTTAGGAACAGAAGCTCTGCAGGCGCAAAGCCTTAGGAACACCTCCACTTAGCTGGCCCAGGACTGAGGTCTGTTCACCTCAGCATGTGTTCCATCTTTAGGGAAAGCCTTTTGGGCTGCCCATGAGAACCTCAGGTTACAAAGACCCTTTTGTTCTGCACAGTCAGAAATACAGATGGGGGCAGGGTCAGCAGGGGTTCTGTTCAGGCAACCCTGGGGCAATCAGACCCCTGGGTTCCCCTCTTCCTGAAGAGACCCAGTGCTGAGCATTTCCTTGATGCAGATGCCAGGTGTGGAGGAAAACAGTGTGGCGGCTCAGTCCCCTCACTGGGAAGATGGAGATGGTGGGGTTGCTGATGGTACACTATAGACAGAAAGCAGCACAGAGCCTGCTGCATAGAAGACCAACAGAAGCGGCAGCCCCCGTGGACTGAATGGAGAGAACGCTGGATTTGGAAACTGGGGCTCCTGGGATGAAGAATGGCTCTGACCCAGATTTCTAGCATGACCTTGAGCAACTGCTTCCTTCAATGCCACCAGATAAATACCCATCTTGGCTGGTATTTTGGTGACAGCCTATCTTGTCCTTGCTGCCTCCCTCCCTCTCTTTCCCAGAAGGTGGCTTCCTGCTGGCCTTGTACTGAGCCCCCTCTCTCTCCTCACAGGTGGGCTGCACTGGGAAGAAAGGCACTCCACATACTCCGCAAACACCACACATCACACACCACACACATATCACGCACACACACCACACCACACACATCACACCCCTCAACACATACTACACACATACCACACACATCACACGCCACAACATGCACATCTCATTCGCATTACACCCCCCTCCCACTGTGTGGTGGTTCACCTCACTCCACTCACCAAGGTCCTTGTCAACCCTCCTATTGCAGGATCCAGGCACCTCTTCTCCACACTCACCTTCCTCAGTGCCCTGCTCCCTTCACCAGGTTCACTCACCTTTGCAGAACCCCTCTCTCCCCATAGGGTTGCCAAATTAAAAAGGCAGGAAGCTTGAGTCTCAGATAGACCAGAATAACATTTTACTCTACTTATGACCCAAATATTGCATGAGACACATTCATACTCATAATTATTCATCGTCTATCTGAAATTCCAATTTAACTGGATATCCTGCCTTTTTATTTGCTAAATCTGGCAACCTTGTTTTCCCGAATCTCTGCTCCCACACACTCCACACCTTCCTGTCCCTTCTCTAATTGCTCCTCCTCAGTCCTTCCCTTTATCAGCCTGGCCCAGGGTGGTGGCCTTGAGCACCTTCTCTTCCTCAACCCTTGCTCTTCTGGGACAGTTCCTCTGGACCTGGGACCCATCTCCACTTGGGACTGGCCTTGCCAGAGTCCTCCAGGACCTCATCTCCAGCTCCTGTTGCAGAAGCCACCCATCCCCTGAGCATGTGGCAATGATCTTGTGCGTGCCTGGACACTGTACCTGCTCAGCCTGACAAGTAAGACTGTCTCTTTGTCACCTTTACCCTTCATTGCCTGGAAACGCGCTGCCCAAATGCAGCAAAAAGTGCTTCCCAGAGGAGCTGGCTGTGGTCCAGACTCATCTCCTCATGCTGGCCAGGCTGAGCCACTGATTCCCTGCACCACATGTTCTGTGAACAGACACCTTCCCCCAATTTCTGCTTGTTGAAATCCCTTCTCTTCCAGGCCAGCCCAAGGGCATTGTCCTCCCAGCTCTCCGGGGTTCTCCCAGCTCTCACCGAATCTGCTGCCTTATCCAGGAGTACACCAAGTACTGGATCATGCTTGATCAACTCCCACCTTCTCTGTGCAGTGCCTGGCCACAGTCAGTACTCAGTCAGAGTTCATGGAAGGAAGGAGTGAGTGACTGAACAGGTGGGTGAGTGATGGAATGAATGAATAAATGGGAAAGTGAGGCAGTAAGGCCCATGGAGAAGATAGCTGGGAGGGTAGATGGATAGGGGGTCCAACGTGAGGTTGGGTGACTGGGAAAATGGATGAGTGTGTGGGTAGATGGAATAAGTGGATGGGTGGGGAGGTAGGTAAATGGACAGGCTGGGGAATAGATCAGTGAATAGATGAGCAAATGAACATGAGGAGCCTCCAGGCTTGACGGACTGCCCATCCCCTGCAGAAGGAGGCCAGGCTCCCCTGCCACTATGTCACAGTCCTGTCACTCTAATCTGGAGATCCTCCCTGGCCTGACCCGGTGAGGCTTGTGAGTACGCAGCACAGACACAGTCCCCTGAGCCTGGAAGGTGGGACCTGGCTCCAGCTAATGAGTGCCTACCTGAAACAGAACTGACTCTGCTTGAGGGCGGGGGAGAACAAGGCCACTTCTTCTCCCCTCTGAGACCCTGAACAGCCATTTCTGTCCACTGGAGGCTCCTGTACCCAGATATCCTATTGTGCTTGGATGTGCTCACCCACCTCTGACCTGTCCGGGTACCTCTGGGAAGAGGACCCTTCCAAGTTCCTGTGGCTCTGCATTGCCCAGGTCCTCTTTCAAGGAAGGATTTCCTTCTGATACCAATATTAGGATCTTGGGATATTAGGATATATCTGGGGGATATTAGGAACCTGCCTCACAATGTGAGTCTTTTTCTCTACCCTCTCCTGCTTCTGCCTCCTTCCCCACACAGGTGTTCATCCCTAACAGACATCTTGCACTTAGACTCTGTCTCAGTGTTCACTCACGGAGAACACAACCTGCAACAACTGCCTTCACTCCAGCTCTAGAGCTGCCTGAAGTTGGCTCCTTTCCACACACACCTAGGAAGGCCCTGCTTGAGGGCTATAGTGTCCAGAGGGACTAGGACATGGTCCCAGGAGCTCCTGTCTCTGGACTGAGCTCTCTCTTCCCTGGGTTCACCCTATCCCATCCCTTCACCCATCCCTCTCCACCAGCCTGACCCTGCCTGCACCCTTCACCCCACCCACCCCCACCACTTGGCACCTCCCGGCTCCAAGCCTCTCTCAGCCTTCCCTGTGGCATTCATGTGGCAAAAGCAGCCTGTCTGGACACTATTATGAGCCAGAGCCCCCCTCAGCCTCAGTCCTGCTCCCCTGAACAGGCAGACCCTGGGAGAGTCACCCACTCGGTGACAGAGCAGATATATGAGAAGGCTCAGAATTTTGCACCTTTCAAACTTGACTTTTTAAACTGTGGCACAGCATTTATTCTGTGGGCAGAAGAACAGATTTTCTGTTAACAAAAACAGAATATCCATTTGTGATGAAAACAAGAGCTTTGTTACATGCCCTGAATGTAACATAACATTTTAACTTTTTTGGAATTATCTTTCAGTTCATGATTTTCCTACATTCCTAAGTGACAGCAAGTCACTCACATTCTCTAAGAATAGAAGTGACCTGTTAGAATATAGCAGTAAAGTCTGGTTCAGAATGTGTTTGAAAGCCATCCTTCTGGCTTTCCTGTTAATAAAACATCTTGTACTTTCTGTGACTCTTATTTTCTCTTCTGTGGTTTTCCAAACCAGATTTGGAAAGACCCGTAAAAGGATATGTATTCTCATTATAAAATAAATCACTTGTTCCCAGGAAGTAGCTCTTTGATTTCAGAGCTAATTTCAGGCAACTGGCCTCAGTATGCAAAAATACTCCACAGCAGAACACAAAAGAAGTGGTTTCTCAAAACGCCCACTTGGAGATGCTTCCTCTGGTGGCAATAGCACTAGTTTTACAGGCACCTTGATGTGATATTTCCCAGCCGTTGTACATCAGCAGAGCTGGCCCACCACACATGGTGTCCGCTCATGCCTCCTGAGATGGCTTCTGGGTCCCCATCCTGAGCGTAGGGCTCAGCTGAGCCCTCAGGGCTCTGAGTTGACTCCCACTGGCTCCCAACAAAGCGTAGCAGCCCAAAATTGAAGGAGATGGAAAGTTGGTGGGATTCAGGAGGGGAAGGACAGGATGCGGGAACATCAGGGAAGACTTGTTGAGCGGGCAAGTAGGTCTGACCCACCAGCAGAGCAAATCTGAGAGACTGTAAGGCCTCAAATGACGGTCCAGAAGTCCCGGGTACTCCGCATGGACTGGGCTTGGGGACCTGAGAAGAGAGAAGCCTCCTGGCGAAATGTGGCCACTGTGAAGCTGTGGCCAGGGCCTCCCTGAGGATCCTGAGTCTTTGAGTCATAGCTGAAGCAGCAGAGGATACAAGTGATGGCCACGGTGAACACAAACAGTACCGCCACCACCCCAATCACTGCTGACTCCATGGCCTGCACGGGCAGCTGACACGCTGAGCAACATGCGTGGCCTCCGAGCCCCAGCTCCCCATCCAAAACAGTGGTCAGAGGTACCCTGTGCTCAGCTGGCTGCTCCTCACGTGTCTTCTAAGATACTGGTCTGAGGCTCAGGGTCGTGCCACCAGATGCTGCTGGGGTCTCCGATGATCTCTATTTTCTATGCCTCCGGCCTGGCTTTCAAGAGCTGTCTGTGGTCAACTCCGCTGGCAGCTTCTAGAAGACATGCACTCCCAGGAGATGTGGGCACAAGACTCCCTGGACATGGAGCCGGGTGGGGAGGAGGGGCAGAAGACATCACTTAAAGGGAGCCAGGCCAGCTGGGGCCTTCTGGTGGTGCCTGTGGATTTCAGAGGGATTGTACACTCAGGCAAAAAACAAAATACTCCCCCTCCAGGGGATCCAGGAGGATCCTGGCACCTCCCCTGCAGGGACCTTGGGCCAGTTCTTGGATCCATCTCTTGGCTGCCTCCCCCATCCCTGGCCCTAGCCTGGGGGCAGGGACACAGGTAGGCAGGAAAGCAAGTGCCAGCTCTGGGCAAGGCTGGGGGTGGGGCTGGGCGAGGTGGAGAGCATTCACAGGGCACTGCAGGTGCCAGGGCGGATGGTCTCCTTCTCTGAATGAGGCCGAGAAAGTACAGCATAGACAGGACAGGGCGTCTCCTGTTCCTTCGGGAACATGCTAAAGGGCTCCCTCACCCTGGTTCCAGGAGAAACCCTCCTCTGCCATCTTGCCCAGTCCTCTTTTCTGCCAGCCCAGACTTGGGTGCTGTGAAGACTTACCCTGTGCTCCCAGAGGGCCAGCCCTGGCTGTACCTGTGCTGTGGCCTCCTCTCCTGGTGGTCGCCCCCCAGGGCCGTGTCGCAGCTCCCTGGATGCTACAGAGTTGGTCCTGCTTGGAAATTGGCTCCGAGATGTCTGAGCAGCTGTGAGTACTTCCTGAATCCCTTCCTCCAATTGTGAGTGAGGGCCCAGGACCCACAGCGGCCACCCACTCAGTGACAGCACTTACCCCGCCCCCACACTCCCTGTGCCATTCCACTCTGCCCCCTGGTGGAGGTCAGGGGAATGAGCCCAGCCCAGGCCACTCCTTCCCCAGAAGGGAGTCCCTCCTGGCCCTCATTTACATCAACACTCCTGAGACCTCGCCATTTCCAGAAAGGAGTCTGGGTCTTCAGCCCCTTACCCATATTCTGAGAAATGGACTAGTGGGAAGCAATAATTCTGAGTGTCTCATAGACTCTTCACAGTAGCATATACAGTGACATCGCCTCCATTTTTCAGATGCTGATAGTCACAGAGCTGGAGTGCCCTGCTTGAGGCCTGTTGCTAGTTAGTAGCAGTAACCACAGCACTAAAGGGCCTTTTCTCCAGTCCCAGCTCAGTGTTCTTTCTGTGTACTATAAGTACCCGATTCTGCCATTTATGGATCAGGGTATGAAGGTTCAGAGAGGGCAAGGAGCTGACCCAAAAATCACACAGCCTGGAACCTTTTCAATTTCTCTAAGGACAAAAAGAGCTTTAGTATTGCCTTGGAAAACTGCCTATGCACATCTTCTAAGTTAATTGGACAATCTGGATTCTGGGCTCCTCTTCCAGAGAAAGCCAGACACCTCAGATTATTTGTCTTAACTGGGGCAACCAACAGCAGAGAATAGGGAACATAACGCATTGATCCGCGGCGCTTGCAGTTTCTGATAGAATCCCCGATATCAACTAGTTAGTTTGGCAGATATGGGCATAAGGAACTGTGTTTCAAGCTTGATTTTGTTTGTTTGTTTTTGGCTTCTTGTTTGCCTGTTCTTCCCAGGTACGTATAGTTATAGGCCACCTGCAGTAGGTGTCACTGATTCTGCATTTTTAATCTGGACATTTGCCCAGTCCTGTTATCTTTTGCCTCCTATAGGTTCCCTTTTTCATCTCCAAGATTTGGGGGAGACCTCTTAACCTTCTTTGATTTATTCATAAAATCTGTGGAGAAGCTGCAGAAAGGGGCCGGGCCCAAGGAGGCCAGACCCCGAGGGGGCTGTGGCAGGAGCCAGGTGGGGGACTGACCTGGACTAGGGCAGAGCTTGGGGGAAGGAGAAGGGGAGGTGGATTGGACAGACGATACAGAGAGTCATCAACAATCCGAGGGACCTATGGTCCATTTTCACATCCCAGAACTCTCTCATGTGACTATCACTGTGAATCTGCCTCCCTCCCCCACATTTTGTCACTCCTCATCCAGCCTCACAGAGAATCCACTGGGAAACAGAAGGAAAGAGGACATTCTATTCCAGTGAGTCACCAGGCCCTCACTTTCTGGCCTGTTCTCCATCCCCTCCCCCGCTGGCCTTCTCCCTGCGCTTCCTCCCCAGCTCCAGGGCACAGGATGAAGTCCTCAGAACAAGAGTCCCTTCTTCTCTGTGGAGTCCACCAGCTGCTCACAGAGCATTTGGGTACATGCTTCTGGGCTTTAGCAGAGGTAATCCCATTTTAAGGAAGAGGAAACTGAGGCCCAGATGAGGCAAGCACTCTCCTAAGGCCACCCAGCATTTCAGTTTAAGTACCACCAGTCCCTCCTAGTTCTGCTGCGATAGCAGGTACCTGGGGACAGGCTAGCTGGAGACTCCAGCTTGACCAGTTACCAACAAAACCCTGAATCCAACATGGCCTGTGGGCCCCAGAGCTCAGTCTACCCTGGACATGGACTGGAAATAGTCCTGGAGGTAGAGCCCAAGGGGCCAGCTGAGGCAGCCTCAACCCTTCTCTCTCTGAGACCCTGGACAGCCCACAGAAGGCCAGAGTCCTGCAGATGTGCACAGGGCCCTGTCTGGGCAGGGTTTTGTGCAAACACTGAATCTTGTCTCAGAGCTCAGGCGGGGCGCACACCTCCCCACTTCCCAGCTAGCCTCTGAGCCCCAGCTTCCCATCTAAGGTCCCAGGGCAAGGCAGACATGGCCTGGCGGCTCCCTCCCATCCCCCACCATCATGCTGGAATCCAAAGACTGCACAAAAGCTTCTTGGTGGCTTTATTTCATACAAGGCACTGATGAGTTGAGTCTGCAGCCTCCTCCAAGCCAAAGTGCATTCTCAGGGGCTCTCCAGCTACGTGCCTGCCAGAGGCCCACAGTTGCCTAAGGAAAGTCAAATGAGCACTTTGCCTCCACCTGCCCTCTGGCTCTACCAGTCACCCTTGTTATGACACAAAATGGGGTGTCCAGCCAATCCTGCTCTCCACTCCTGAATCCTAAATGGCCACTCCAGGTAGTCCTCAAGTTCTCTGTGCACAGAAAGGGGGAGCATAGCATGTAAATGAAGCCCAAGCAGTGCCCCCCCCCATTCACCCAGAGATACATCCTTCCATATGGAGACATCAGGGTCCACTCATCCTTGGGCTGGGTGACAGGGCAGGGCAGGGAGCACTGCCATCCACAGGCGTCAGCGGAAGCCTCTGTGGGCATGGTGGAGGTGGTGAGGAGAGTGGTGCAGGTGATGGTGCTGGAGGTGGAGCTGGTGGTGGTGGTTGTGGTGATGGAGGCCCACACGGGGCCCCTGATTCACATGGCCGGGGTGGTGGTGGTGGTGATGATGATGATGATGAATGTTTCCCAGAGGGCCCCTGCCCTGGAAGAGCCAATGCTGGGCTCGCCGGGCTCTCCTGATTCTGCGTTCTCCTCCAACTGGAAGGTTCCTCTCCATGTCATGGTCCTGTGGTTCGTGGAAAAGGCAGATGGCCAGTAGCAGCAGCAGCAGCAGAATAGACACAGCAGCACCTATGATCCAACCCACAGGGGCCGTGCTCTCCAGAAGGCCGAGCATCTGGGAGCTAGATGGTCCCTCTCCACTCAGTGGCTTCAAGCTGCTTCCTCCTCTTCAGCAGCCTCTGCTCAGTCTCACAGTCATTGAACTTTGTCCCAGCTCCTGTGGACTGGAAAACAGCCAGGGAATGTGGGCGAGGCCTGTTTGGACTTGAGCTGCCGGCCAAGGGTGAGGCCAGGGAGCCGTTAACTTTGGGGAGGCCAGGCAGGGAGGTTGGGTGGAGACAGAGGAGCTGTCAGACTGGGTGTCCTTGAGAGAGCTGCTTAAGTCTAAGGGTAAGAGGTCAATGTCTGCTCCCCTCCTGCCACCTGGCCAAGTGACCAGTAGAGACAGTATAGCACAAAAATTAAGACCACACCACAAGCTAAGCAGGAGATGGAGCCGTAGCTAGAAGTAGAACACTGTCCTAGCATGCATGAGCCCCTGAGTTCAACTCCCAGCAGTGCAAAACAAACAAACAAAACTGGGTGGAGGATTTTGGAACCACACAAATCACAAGCTCTATGATTGTGCCCAAATTACTTAAGCTACTCTCAAATTTCTGAAGTGCCTTGGTTTCTTCATCTGTAAAATGGTCTAAGCTGTAAAAATAGCATTTACCTCTTAGGGTTTCCTGAGGATCAAAGGAGTTAAGACCTATATAGAACTTAAATAGTTTCTGACATGTTTGCCACTGATAATATTGCAGTCGGTTTTGGATTAAATTACTTGGGAGACTTTGCATCTAAGAATGTGAATTCCTGTCCTGCAGCCCACAACTCCTTCACCACTAAGAGTCAGTGAGTTATCCCGAGCTCCGTGAGCTTCAGCGGCTCCATGAGGCCTACAGGCAGATCTTTATCATCAGAGTCTGGGAAGCAAGAGGATCAGCTGTCAGCCCAGGGTCGCTGGGAGGCAGAAAGGAGACTGCTGAGCCCAGACAGGCCAGGCCCCAGTCCAGCCTCCTGGTTCCCAGACCTCAGTGGGCCTCAATGGGCCAGCCTCCCTGCCATGCAGCCAAACTATGGATGCCACCCTGCCTAGTGGAGGATTTAGACAGTGCGCAGGATATGAACAGTCCTGGCTCTCTCCCCTTCCTAGTCCTGAATCCCTTCTGTTCATCACAGACAAGCACTGGTCCTGTCCTGCTCACGGCCTAGGGACAGGTGCTCATTCTCCCTCTGGATAATCCTTCCTGCTAAGGGCCCGTTGGGCCTTTTGGGCTCTTGCTCACATGCAGTGGCCTCCCCAAAGCCCCAGCTCTGCATCTGGATCCCCAGGGGCCCACCAGGCAGAGTCCCAGCCGAAGGAGCTCTAAGTTTCCCCCAGTGAGTGCTCATGTCCCTGCCACCGGGAGGAATGTTTACAGAAGCCACAAAGCTGGTACCGAGCTCTGCAGCAACTCCACCCTGTGACCTCAAAGGTCTTCCCCTGACCCAGCCTGTTTGTCCTCTGTAAAGTTCCCAGGGCGAGAGATGCCTCCCTGGACTCCTCTATCTCTGACCTACATCTGAGCTACTCTCTCTTAGGGAGGGCCTCAAACCCTAAGTGAAAACCCCAGTAGATGAAAAGCCGACACATTTCTTTCAGGCAAATTGGGCTCAGGGGGGCAGCACGTTTAATGAGTCCTGAGCTTCTCTGGCCCCCAGGAGAAGCCACTTGAACTTTTAATGATGCTGGAATTAAGTACTCCTTCTGCAGATTTCTGGGGCCCTGGGAGTCACCTGCCTTCCCTAGGAACACATTACAGAGGGAATCTGCTATGAGGAGGAGGAGAATGTCAAACAGGAGGAACTTTCCTCTTTAGAATTTCTCCAGAGAGACTCTCACTCCACCCCAGCCAGGAGCAGGGCAGGGCCCTGAAATCTGCATACTTGAAGAATTTCAATCAGCCATGAAGGCGCCTGGGGAATCACCCAGCCCCAGCCCGCACAGAGAGATGGAAGAATTGAGGTCACAAGAAAGGAAAGGACCTGCCTGAGTTCTCCTGCTGTGTGGCCAGTCAATACAGCAGGCCATCAAGAGAGCCCAATTCATGTGAGGGGCTGTCCAGGGTGAGTGTGATCCACTGGGAACCTTCCAGAGAGATAATGAGAAGATGATATGTGATGTGGGTGAGCCAGAGTGGGCAGGAACTAAGAGGGTGACCCCCATATACATAGACATATGCACAACATCTGTTTCCCGAGATGCAAGTTCACTTTCCATCTGGCGGTCTCCAGACTTCAGAAGTGACGAACCTTCATGGAGGCCTGACTAGGTACAGAACTTGCAGGACTAATGTCTAGATAGGCTTCAACTAGGAAGTCCCAGTCTCAGTCCCAGTCTCAGAAAAGCTATCCTGTGGCCATGTCATTGTATTTGTCCCTCAGGATGGGGTCTTTCTCCTGTACACAGTGTTTTTCTAAGTTATCTAGGCTGGCTTTGAACTTGTGATCCTCCTGCCTCAGCCTCCTGATTATCTAGGATCACAGGTATGTGTCACTGGGCCCGGCTAGCCTTTTGAAACTCATATTATTTTACCTCAATCTCTTAGTTTCCAGGGAGCCCAAACTTATGCATGTACTTTTCTGCATGTGTAGTCTTATAACAATGACATAGCTCTGTGGGAACTTGTGCCACTGATAATTGTGCTCATATGTCCTCATGTACATATGCACACGTGTGTACATATTGCAGAAAAGCTCATAAACCTGTGATCATACCCGTGGCAGGTGTTTTGGTTGTCCAGCAATAGCAACCACATTGTTTTCACTAATTGGTGGCACCACCTAGTGGTGACACTGTAAATAAATTACTCTTGTATTCAGATCTATAAAATTTTTGTATCCTGATTTTTGTTGATAGATCTCAAATTGAACCCATGCACTTAACTCCTTACCATTCCAGATTACCACTGAAATGGCAAAATAATTGAAAGTAAGAAAATACAATTTCACACGGAAATCAGTGAGTGGTATTACTGGCCTGGAAAGGGGAAATTCTATAAAATACGATGCATGAGAACCGGGTTGATGGCTGTACAAAGGAAGGGCATTTGGGAAGTTGTAGAAGGTGTGCCCCAGCAGGGCCTCTCTAAAGCCCTAGACAGCCAGGACTAGGAATAAGGGAGAGCGGGGTTCAGGCAGAAAACAAATTGAGTGACCTTTAAAATTGCTCACAGAGAAGCTGGCCAAGCCTCAGCCCATTTTTTGGTTTGCACAGAAGAGCAGGGACACTGGCTACCAGGTGCCTAACCTGGGAGCACATGCCACTTAGAAAAGAAAGACACTTTTCCAGTTAACCTTGGGCTGGCCTGATATATTCTGAAAAGAAGTTGCCCAACACAGCAACTCAGAAGCTCCCCCCGCTGCACCTGGCCCCCAGTGATGGCCAAGTGAAGCTCCCAATCCCGAAAATGAGAACATACGCAGTCAGGTTTCTTTTCTTTCTATCTTGCCTGGAACCAACATGCTTGGAAATGATCTATATCATCTTTTATAGAACCCATGTCTTTTATTAGAGCTTTGTAGTTATATATAGTAGTTGGATTCATCCCAACAAACTCATACATGCATGGAAATCCATTCCAGTTCATGGTCTCCTTGCTTTTCCCTCCCCTAGAACCTGTTTTAAAGCTCAATACCCAGCAAACATGGATTGACTCCCTCCATAAAGTGAGCAAATAGAGAAAAATGACTAAACCAATGAAAAAAGAGACAAGTTATTGTATCTTCATTACCAGAATTACTAGAATCTAAGAAATTAAGAAACAGTCAAATTCCCTCATCTATCTTCTAAATAAGATTTCAAAGGTCAAACTATATGGAAAATATGTAAAAACAGGAAATTCACTTTTAGATTAGGAAACAAATCAGAAACAACTGTTTTAAGAGTCCTTCCTCATAACTTGACGGGGGGTGGCATTAAAAAAGAGAGAAAGAGAAAAAAACAAAGGTCCAAAAATCAAACATACTTTTATAATAAACATTCCAGAAGCAAAAAAACAGAGACTGTGGAGAAACAGTCACTAAAGAAACAGAGCAAATGTCCTGACCTGAAGAAACTAGTCTTCGGGTCAAAAGATGCAATGAGTACCAGGAAAACTAACTGAACAGGTCAGATCAATTGAGTATAATCAGGTGAAATTTTAACAACACAAGAATAAAGAAAAGCAATGTGGTCTAATCACCAGAGAAAACAGTTTGACAGATTCATATAAAACTAAATATAGTCTATCATATAATCCAGCAATTGCACTCCTTGGAATTTGCCCAAATGAGTTGAAAACTTAGGTCCACACAAAAACCTGTGCACAGAGGTTTATAGTAGATTTATTTATAATTGCCCAAACTTGGAAGCAACCAAGATGTTCTTCAGTAGGTGAATGGATGGATGATGGGTACATCTAGACAATGGAATGCTATTTGACGCTAACAAGAAAGCAGCTGTAAATTCGTGAAAAGACATGGAGGAAACTTAGATGTATATTACTAAGAGAAAGAAGCCAATCTGAAAAGACTACATACAGTATGATTCAAACTACATGACATTCTGGAAAAGACAAAATTCCTGAGACAGTAAAAGAAAAGATCCATAGTTTCCAGGGCTTGAAGACAGGAAAGATGAATGTGTGGAACACAAGAATTTTTAAGGTAGTAAAACTATTCTGTAAGATATATAATGGTGGATACCTGTCGTCATACATTTGTCAAAACCTATAGAATGTATGCCACCAAGAAAAAACCCTAATGTAACTGGGTAATAATGTGTCAATGTAGGTTCATTAATTTGAACAAATATACTGCTGTGGTGTTGAGTGCTGATACAGGGGTCCGCTATGAGTATATGGGGCTAGGAGGTGTATGGGAAAAATCTCTGCAGCTTCTATTCCATTTTGCTATTCTAAAAAACAAAGCCATTTTTTAGACTAAATGAGCTGATGCTTTTATTTTTACATTTTATGATACAAATGAAGACTGCAATTATTATTATTATTATTATTATTATTATTATTATTCCCCTCTTCTCTCCTCCAAAACTATCCTCTCTTCAATAGGAAGGGGGAACAAGTCTTCCTT